AGGTGTGGTGGGTCTGGTCCGGTTGGTCTAGTAGGTGTGGTGGGTCTGATCCGGTTGGTCTAGTAGGTGTGGTGGGTCTGGTCCGGTTGGTCTAGTAGGTGTGGTGGGTCTGGTCCGGTTGGTCTAGTAGGTGTGGTGGGTCTGGTCCGGTTGGTCTAGTAGGTGTGGTGGGTCTGGTCCGGTTGGTTTAGTAGGTGTGGTGGGTCTGGTCCGATTGGTCTAGTAGGTGTGGTGGGTCTGATCCGGTTGGTCTAGTAGGTGTGGTGGGTCTGGTCCGGTTGGTCTAGTAGGTGTGGTGGGTCTGGTCCGGTTGGTCTAGTAGGTGTGGTGGGTCTGATCCGGTTGGTCTAGTAGGTGTGGTGGGTCTGGTCCGGTTGGTCTAGTAGGTGTGGTGGGTCTGGTCCAGTTGGTCTAGTAGGTGTGGTGGGTCTGATCCGGTTGGTCTAGTAGGTGTGGTGGGTCTGGTCCGGTTGGTCTAGTAGGTGTGGTGGGTCTGATCCGGTTGGTCTAGTAGGTGTGGTGGGTCTGGTCCGGTTGGTCTAGTAGGTGTGGTGGGTCTGATCCGGTTGGTCTAGTAGGTGTGGTGGGTCTGATCCGGTTGGTCTAGTAGGTGTGGTGGGTCTGGTCCGATTGGTCTAGTAAGTGTGGTGGGTCTGGTCCGGTTGGTCTAGTAAGTGTGGTGGGTCTGGTCCGGTTGGTCTAGTAGGTGTGGTGGGTCTGGTCCGGTTGGTCTAGTAGGTGTGGTGGGTCTGATCCGGTTGGTCTAGTAGGTGTGGTGGGTCTGATCCGGTTGGTCTAGTAAGTGTGGTGGGTCTGGTCCGGTTGGTCTAGTAGGTGTGGTGGGTCTGGTCTGATTGGTCTAGTAAGTGTGGTGGGTCTGGTCCGGTTGGTCTAGTAAGTGTGGTGGGTCTGGTCCGGTTGGTCTAGTAGGTGTGGTGGGTCTGGTTCGGTTGGTCTAGTAGGTGTGGTGGGTCTGATCCGGTTGGTCTAGTAAGTGTGGTGGGTCTGGTCTGATTGGTCTAGTAAGTGTGGTGGGTCTGGTCTGATTGGTCTAGTAGGTGTGGTGGGTCTGGTCTGATTGGTCTAGTAAGTGTGGTGGGTCTGGTCCGGTTGGTCTAGTAAGTGTGGTGGGTCTGGTCCGGTTGGTCTAGTAGGTGTGGTGGGTCTGATCCGGTTGGTCTAGTAGGTGTGGTGGGTCTGATCCGGTTGGTCTAGTAAGTGTGGTGGGTCTGGTCCGGTTGGTCTAGTAGGTGTGGTGGGTCTGGTCCGATTGGTCTAGTAAGTGTGGTGGGTCTGGTCCGGTTGGTCTAGTAAGTGTGGTGGGTCTGGTCCGGTTGGTCTAGTAAGTGTGGTGGGTCTGGTCCGGTTGGTCTAGTAAGTGTGGTGGGTCTGGTTCGGTTGGTCTAGTAAGTGTGGTGGGTCTACTGGTCCACACTGACTCTCACAGCACAAGTCACCACACAATCTATCTTCACCCTCTCTGATAATTACTTTCATATTTTCCAAATATAGTCGCTGGTACCTGAGGACCGATGTTGCTGGAGTGTTCACGTTTAATAAGTTTATTTTGGCACAGGTGCACATAAGTACAATTATCATACATATTGTAAATTGCCTAAGATAACCAAAAAAGAAAAAAAGTTAGTGACCTATTTCCATTGGGGTCTTTGATTTTGATGGGGAAACAGTGTGGTAAAGAAAGCGAATGCCAGACTAAAGTTCCTCTATAGACAGGCACAGTTTGTACCTACTGAGGCACGGTGTCTACCTTCTGAGGCACAGTGTTTACCTACTGAGACACGGTGTCTACCTTCTGAGGCACAGTGTGTACCTACTGAGGTACGGTGTCTACCTCCTGAGGCACAGTGTGTACCTACTGAGGCACGGTGTCTACCTCCTGAGGCACAGTGTGTACCTGCTGAGGCACGGTGCCTACCTCCTGAGGCACAGTGTGTACCTACTGAGGCACGGTGTCTACCTCCTGAGGCACAGTATGTACCTAATGAGGCACAGTGTCTACCTCCTGAGGCACAGTGTGTACCTAATGAGGCACAGTGTCTACCTCCTGAGGCACAGTGTGTACCTACTGAGGCTCATAGGAACTTATGTCTAGCTCTCATACATAAGAATTTAAGAAAGAAGGAGCCCTGCTCTTCAAGGTACCCTGCCTTAACAAAAATTCAAAAGATAGGCTACAAATCAGACAGAACAAAATGGTGAGGTTCATCCTGGACCTGGTCTAAGAGAACATGTAGACCAGGATCAATTACATCAACTGATTATGCTGAATGTTGAAGACAGTAAAACAATTGAAGTTAAATCTCATTTATAAAATTGCTCACGAACAGTCCAGAATATCTTGCTACCAAGCTTGTCGAAGTTGGGAACCAACACAAATATAGTACTAGGGGAAAGGGACACAACATTGTAGTACCCACAGTAGGTGGTCAGGCCTCAAACACCTTTTATTTTAAAGAAATGAAGGAGTGGGACGGACTGCCTGCACATGTCAAAGCATGTCAGAGAATGAGCTAGTTTGGGAAGACATCTGAAAGGTACCTAGTCAATGAAACTGTAGAAAGGTACCTAATGAACGAAGCTACAGAAAGGGAGGAGAGTGACTTCTTCCACAGCTAACATGCATGTAGCCTTTACTGTGATCTGATCTTAATGCTGACGTAAATAGGTCACTTTACATTATTCCTAGTATATCTCCTTGTTATTGTAACTAATCTTCACATAGTTGAGTTGCTTAGATGTTTTAACTTCTAACTTTGATGTTTAAAGGTTTCTGTAAAAATATATTACAAGGACAACAATGGAAATAAGTCACTTTGCCTGACATTTTTTTTAGGTTATTATGGTGGGTAATTTACACACACGTTACCATGTATGATAATTTGTTTAACTGTATTTATGTACACCTGTACCTGAATAAAAAACTTACCTACCTACTTACTAATTTACTTACCTACCTACCTACTTATTAATTTACTTACCTACCTACCTACTTATTAATTTACTTACCTACCTACCTACTTACTAATTTACTTACCTACCTACCTACTTACTAATTTACTTACCTACCTACCTACTTACTAATTTACTTACCTACCTACCTACCTACTTACTAATTTACTTACCTACCTACCTACTTATTAATTTACTTACCTACCTACCTACTTACTAATTTACTTACCTACCTACCTACTTACTAATTTACTTACCTACCTACCTACTTACTAATTTACTTACCTACCTACCTACTTACTAATTTACTTACCTACCTACCTAATTACTAATTTACTTACCTACCTACCTACTTACTAATTTACTTACCTACCTACCTACTTACTAATTTACTTACCTACCTACCTACTTATTAATTTACTTACCTACCTACCTACTTACTAATTTACTTACCTACCTACCTACTTACTAATTTACTTACCTACCTACCTACTTACTAATTTACTTACCTACCTACCTACTTACTAATTTACTTACCTACCTACCTAATTACTAATTTACTTACCTACCTACCACTTACTAATTTACTTACCTACCTACCACTTACTAATTTACTTACCTACCTACCTACTTACTAATTTACTTACCTACCTACTAATTTACTTACCTACCTACCCACTTACTAATTCACTTAACTGCCTACCCCTACTTACAAATTTACTTACCTACTTATTAATTTACTTACTCCAATATAAACCCTCCACTTAAACTTCTCCATCATAGCTACAACAGAACACAGTCACAATACAAGGGACTCTTCAACATCCCTGTGTCAGTCTCACACTGCAAGAATACAGTGCACATAAAGGGCCAAAAGATCTGGAATTCACTACCTGAACCAGTAAGTAAGTAAGTTTATTCAGGTATACACAAATACAGTTACATAGAATTATCATACATAGCAGCATATGTGTAGAGAACCTGGGATAACACAAAAAAGTCACATAGAGTGACTTATTTCCATTGGGGTCCTTTAAAGGATCCCATGACTACTTATAAATTTAAGACTTTGCTTAAAAATCATCTCATCTCTCAATACAACTTCTGATCAGTTTGAAGCAACTCTCCCAAATATTATATGACTTCTAGTCTATTAAACATCTGCCAATCCATTAAATACCACTGTTTGAACCATTATTTGTAATATTGTTTTATTATTATGTGTAACTTCAAGGTTATTATTATAAACCTCTACCCTGACTACCTTGCATTAGTATTTAGATTAAATAAAGATCTTAATACAAGTTAAACACTCCTATCTTGTCTAGATTTAAGTAGTTATAATGTATTAGGATCAATCTGCCATAAATGCCTCACCATGTTAGTGACTTTGTACTTAGCAAACATAATTGCAATTACACATTGTAACCTTTACAAAGAGATACAATCTTTATCTTTGTTATCCACGGTGCCCCGTGGCCTGGTGGCTAAAGCTCTCGCTTCACACGGCGAGGGTCCTGGTTTGATTCCCAGCGAGGGTAGAAACATTGGACGTGTTTCTTTACACCTATTATGTATGTTCACCCATCAATAAAATGGGTACCTGGTGTGGGTCGCATCCTGGGACAAAACTGACCTAATCTGCAGGAAATGCTCAGCATAACAAGCAACTTTCTATATAGTAGTCCCCTCAAGGAAGGTTCCTTGATGTTGGTGAGGGGCTCTTGATTTAGGGAGTTGGATCTGTGCTCCAGTTCCCCGAATTAAGCCTGAATGCCTTCTACATCCCCCAAGGCGCTGTATAATCCCCCGGGTTTTGCGCTTTCTCCTTGATTTTAATAATAATAATAATCTATATAGTAGTATATTATTAATGTCAACTATGGTGTGTATACCTTGTACATGTACTGGTAGTAAATAAAGATATTAAATAACAGATATTAAATAATAGATATTAACTGTATTGTGTATACCTGAATAAATTTACTTACTTACTTACTTACTTACTATTAACATAAGGATAACTACACTGGCCCTTAACACCCACAATAACATCAGTGATGCCAGAGACTCAAAACTCCGTCTGGGAAAAACTTTCTTAAAACTTGATTATATCCACATTACGGAGGCTACTGGCTGCCACTTGTACACTGGCTGCCACTTAACACACTTACTTACTTACTTTAGTAAGTACAAGAGAGGGAGTGTAGTGATGAATCAGTGAAGAGTGTACTGACAAGGTCGTTGTACAGGTATGCACCATTTTTTTTGTATTTTTTTTTTTATTATATTACTGAGTATTACAGATGTACTGGCGGTACTTTTATAGTACAGTGGATAAATTAGTAGCTACTTACCCACTCAGTATAATTCTCATGCTTATATTACTGTTAATACTCGTATTGAAAGTTTTTTTCACAGTCGAGTTACTCAAATATTATTTGACAGCCATGAAATACCTTTCACCATAGGATCTATAGACTGGTTCAGTTGTTATATAAATAATAAGAAACAATTTTTAATATTGAATCAATATTTGTAAATTAGAGGAGTCCCGCAGGGACTTACCTTGGGTCCCTTCCTGTTTTATATGTACAATGTTGCATTAAGAATAATCACTACATAGGTATACAGTATGTTAATTTTGGTATATATATTTACTGAACTTATATTTTATAATTGAATAGATTTAATATTTACTGTTACCGGGTATTGTAGGTGTATTATTTTAATTTTCATTTAAATGGCATACAAATATTGCTAAATAAACAAGCAATCCTAAAAAAATGGGAGATTTTGTCATCTGTGTATGTTTATTAAGCTTTATTGTATTATCCTAGGCTGGACTTTTATCACTGTCTGCAGGCCTATGATGATTTTGTGTTTTATGTAATCATCATGGATATTTAAACTGTCATCATCACTAGTACTTTTACTATCATCATTACTAGTGCTACAACTATCACCACTACTAGTACTGCAACTATCACTACCTGCCTGCTTCACACACTGAGGGTCCAGGGTTCGATCCCCGGTACGGGTAGAAACATTGGACGTGTTTCCTTACACCTGTTGTCCCAGTTCACCTAGCAAGTAAGTACAATAGGTACTTGAGTGTTAGTGGACTGGTGTGGGTCACATCCTGGGGGACAAGATTGAGGACCACAATGGAAATAAGACAGACAGTCCTCGATGACACACTTGACTTTCTTGGGTTATCCTGGGTGGCTAACTCTCCAGGGTTACAAATCTAAACAAAATCTTATCTATCACCACTAATACTACAAATATAAGTCAATGTAAATAACTGTTGCAGATGTACCCTGAATAAAGCTTATGTACCATATTTGCTAACTTCTCAGCAGTAGATGTGTTTGCAGGGGTGAGTCTTAGCTCCTGGGCCAGCCTCTTAACTACTAATAACCCTCTTTTCTCTGTCTTTACTGTGTATCTTTATAATAATGCTAATAATCTTTATTTCTACACATACACGATACAGCTTATACATTGTTCCTACAAGGTTCACCGCTCTCACAAATTCACTTGACTTTCCTCTCCTTCCTTACACACATCTTGGTAATTTCTTGTGCCTCAAATAGTTGATCTTCAATTTTGTCAGCCAGTGTGTGCAGGTGGGGTGAGAAGTGTCTCCTGCCAGCCTTCTAATACCACTCGCTGGATACCACAACAAGAAACACTTAGTAAAGATTTACCTCATAAGATGTGTAGCACACTGTCCCTTGTTTCTTTGTGACCCGTGCAACTATCATAAAGACCTTGGTAATGTATAAGTTTATCTGCGAGTGGTTAGTGCATAATTTTACCTACAAGTTCTTTTTACATTACACGAGTTTATTACCTTTATACCTTTACCTGTGATATACCTTTTTTTAGGTACAGTAATGTACCTAATTAGTTAAGTGTAAGTAAGTAAAATGATGACACACCGTAAGTTACAAAGATCACACACGTACACAATCTCAACATTTCAAACTTCAGTAATTTGTGGAAAAGTGTGTTCACTGGCTATCCCATGCCCCTTATGACACTCTTGTAGATGTCAATATTAACATTTGTCAGTAATGTATGTATGTATGTATGTATGTATGTATGTATGTATGTATATATATATATATATATATATATACAGTGGACCCCCGCATAGCGACCTTAATCCGTGCAAGAGGGCTCATTGTTATGCGAAATGATCGGTATGCGAATGAATTTTCCCCATAAGAAATAATGGAAATCAAATTAATCCGTGCAAGACACCCAAAAGTATGAAAAAAAAAATTTTTACCACATGAAATATACATTTTCCTACACACAAAGAGAAGGATACATGCACAATAGTAGAGTAGTACATGCACAATATATATTGTGCATGTACTAGTCTACTAAATGAAGAATAAATGACACTTACCTTTATTGAAGATGCAGCAATGACTGATGAGACACTGTCCTGGGAGTGCCTTTTCCTCCTGAGTACTGTAGGTCCTGTTTGGCATTTTCTTCCAGAACAGGCCTTATCACACTGTGTATGCCACTACGATTCTTAAATCTCTCAAACCAACCTTTGCTGGCTTTAAATTCAGCAATATGAGCACTAGTTCCAGGCATTTTTTCCCTGTTCACCTGGGTGTTAGTCGACTGGTGTGGGTTGCATCCTGGGAGACAAGATTAAGGACCCCAATGGAAATAAGTTAGACAGTCTTCGATGACACTGACTTTTTTGGGTTATCCTGGGTGGCAAATCCTCTGGGGTTAATTGTTTCTTGGTATTCTCAATAAGCCACACCAACAACGGTGCTACAGCAGCAGCAGCAGCTGACAGTGCTACAGCAGCAGCAGCAGCTGACAGTGCTACAGCAGCAGCAGACGATGCTACAGCAGCAGCAGACGGTACTACAGCAGCAGCTGATGGTGGTACAGCAGCAGCAGCAGCTGACGGTACTACAGCAGCAGCTGATGGTGGTACAGCAGCAGCAGCAGCTGACAGTGCTACAGCAGCAGCAGACGATGCTACAGCAGCAGCAGACGGTACTACAGCAGCAGCTGACGGTGGTACAGCAGCAGCAGCAGCAGCTGACAGTGCTACAGCAGCAGCAGACGATGCTACAGCAGCAGCAGACGGTACTACAGCAGCAGCAGCAGCAGCTGATGGTGGTACAACAGCAGCAGCAGCTGACAGTGCTACAGCAGCAGCTGACAGTGCTACAGCAGCAGCAGACGATGCTACAGCAGCAGCAGACGGTACTACAGCAGCAGCAGACGGTACTACAGCAGCAGCAGCAGCTGACGGTGGTACAACAGCAGCAGCAACTGACGGTGCTACAGCAGCAGCTGACAGTGCAGCAGCAGCAGCAGCAGCTGACAGTGGTACAGCAGCAGCAGCAGCTGTACCACCAATAGTAGCGATGGTTGATTGGGGTTTATTATACAACCTGGCCAGCTCGGAGACACGCACTCCACTTTCATACTTATCAATGATCTTTTTCTTCATCTCTATAGTAATTCTCACCCTTATTGCTGTAGGGTTGGCACTAGAAGCTTTCTTTGGGGCCCATGGTCACTTATTTTGCAGATAAAATCACCAAAAACACTGTAATAATACGAAATGTTCCGATTGTATGCTTGGATGTTACCGCGGAGGCTGGCTGGTAAACAATGCCACCGGCGGCACATGTGAGGCTGGCTAAGGGCGCACATTGGACGCGTCTCGGACGAAGAGCGGTGAGCGGGTTTTTGAGCGGTATGCGAGGCAAAATTTTTGCGATAAAAGCGAGCGGTATGCGGATTGAACGTTATGTGATGCCGACGGTATGCGGGGGTCCACTGTATATATATACAGTGGACCCCCGGTTAACGATATTTTTTCATTCCAGAAGTATGTTCAGGTGCCAGTACTGACCGAATTTGTTCCCATAAGGAATATCGTGAAGTAGATTAGTCCATTTCAGACCCCCAAACATACACGTACAAACGCACTTACATAAATACACTTACATAATTGGTCGCATTGGGAAGTGATCGTTAAGCGGGGGTCCACTGTATATATATATATATATTATAATAATGTTGGTAAAATTACCAACAAAGCTCCTGGAGAGTGAAGCGTTGCCACAATAAAATGTTGCAGTAGTGGCATCTGTGTCCTTTTATCTAACACAAAAGATTATGAGAGGAACTACGAATGATATTTTTCTAAATAATGTACAACATGCCTAAAGTGTACATGCTGTATGATGTTTTTATTGAAGGCTGTTAGCTGGCACCTTTGTTTGTTCCGGCCTTTTTTGGTGCCTGTTGTGTTTGTGCTTGTATGTGATGTTTTAATTTGTTGCTTGGTTCATGTCCCTTAAATTATTGCTTGGCTCAACCCTTAAATTGTTGCTTGGCTCACAACCCTAAAGTTATAAAGAATAAATCTGGATTACCAGTCATTTATAAGCTGGGGACCTCTTATTTGTGCAATGTTCCAGTCATGGCATTGGGCATTTTTATTCTTCCTGGGAAAGTCTTGTATTGATGAAGTGTATAGTTGTTAATATTACTGAAAAATGTTGAGTGCTTTATACATACTATAATTTTCTTATTTCAGATTGACAGTAAAGCAAAAATGATGAGAGGATATGTAGTGCAGTTGTGGTTGGTATTGTTGGTGCTTGTACTGGGTGTGGAGGCATTCCCATGGACTGAGTTGCACCTTCCTCCAGAACATATTGCAATCTTCTTCAACAATAATCCAACAGTAGCTGAAGAATGTCGCAAGAGTTCATCGTGTCCATACAAGGCAAGACCTTTCATTTCTTAGTTATAAAAAAGGAAGATTTTTATAATTTTTTTTAATAATACAAGTACCATCTGACTTACGACTTGCTCGACATTCAACCACTCGTACTGACAACTGTACTGTTTCCCTCTTAGCTTAAGTTATTTGTACTTTTCTGTTCATGCATACGAATGTTTTCATATGTTTTCATGCATATGAATGTTTTGTACGCAAATAAACTGTTTATGTTGTACACAGTGTTTCTCCTAAACCTTATACATGGTGAACAATAAAATGGTATAAAATACCGACAGGTTGTTAGGTAAGACACATATACACCTAACTGTTGCATATGTGTCTTACCTAACAAACCTTATACATGTCAGCTATCACTAATCCAACATCATTGGGACTTGTAGTGTGCCGGATTAGTGAGTTTGCCAGATTACAGAGCGGTTAGGTTAGAATACACTTAATTAACCTATCAACAGAGACTCTTTCTGCTACATCTTCCTCATTTTCATCACAGCTTTCTCCTCCACTGGCTTGCTGCTGTGGATTTACAACCATCTGCACAATTTCTGAGTCAGTATAATGATGAAATTTGAGTATAATGATTTGAGTCAGTATAATGATGAAATTTGAAATTATGCTAGCCGAAATTAGTGCTGGATTACTGCTGGAACCGGATGACTGATTGCCGACCTGTACTGTTTATTTACTTATTCAGTGACAGTAGTTTATTTATTTATTTATCATATCACATTCATATTCGACTTAGGATATTTTTGACTTACAATGGGTTTGTTGGACTTAACCCCATCGTAAGTCAAGGACCACCTGTATTGTGCTGCCTGTTAATTCTACTTTTATTTATTTTGTGGGATTTAATATAAAGAAGCTTTAAAAGGGGACTTTAATAAAAATATGTGTCAATGTATATTGATCATGTGACAGATGCATCTTGACCGAGCTGCATGCTGGGGATACGAAGATGGTTGCACTGCCGAACACTCATACAGTCAACCATCGTGTCCTGGTGATGCTAAAGGTTAGTTGAAGCCTCCATGAGGGTGAAGTTGGTGTGACCTTGTGCCTGAGGGCTGCTACTGGGATGTATTCAATTGACTAGTTGTGGCTGTGGGGGGGTCGACTCATCTTATAATAAAATAATAATCTAGGTAGTAGGTTGATAGACAGCAACCACCCAGGGAGGTACTACCATCCTGCCAAGTGAGTGTAAAATGAAAGCCTGTAATTGTTTTACATAATGGTATGATTGCTGGTGTCTTTTTTCTGTCTCATAAACATGCAAGATTTCAGGTATGTCTTGCTACTTCTACTTACACTTAGGTCACACTACACATGCATGCACGAGCATATATACACATATACAAACCATACCACAGGTGGGGATAGAACCCGTGGGTTCTATCCCCGCCCGTGGTATGGTTTGTTTGCAATCGTGTCATTACGATTTCGTGAGTCATGATACACATACACCTCTGGGTTTTCTTCTGTTTTCTTACTATATCTTGTTTTTGTTTATTTCCTCTTATCTCCATGGGAAAGTGGAACAAAATTCTTCCTCCATAAGCCATGCATGTCTTAAGAGGTGACTAACATCCCTGGAGCAAGGGGCTAGTAACCCTTTCTCCTGTATATATTACTGAAGTTAAAAAGAGAAACTTTCGTTTTTCTTTTTGGGCCACCCTGCCTCGGTGGGATATGGCCGGTTTGTTGAAAGAAAGAATAATAAAATCTTTATTTCTACAAGTACAGTGGTACCTAGGGATACGAATTTATTTCATTCCAGAAGGCTGTTCAAGTGCTGATGCCAAACGAATTTGTTCCCATAAGGAATAATGTAAATTAGATTAATCCGTTTCAGACCCCCAAAAATACACTTACAAAAACACTTACATAAATACACTTACATAATTGTTCGAGTTTTGAGCTGTTCGTATCCCGAGGTACCACTGTACATGATATAACTTATACAGATGATAGCTGAATCAGCGACATACTATGTAGAAAGCCCCTGGTTATGTAGATCATTTTGGGCAACTTAGGTTAATTTTGTCCCTCAAGATGCAACCCACACTAGTTGAGTAACACCCAGGTACCTACCTACAGCTAGGTGAACAGGGACAGCAGGTGTAAGTAAACATGCCCAATGTTTCCACCTGTACCAAGGATTGAACCATGGGCATTCCTGTTGGTTCTCTGAACCATTTATGTAAATTTTTTATTCATCACTCACAAAATCATAAGATTGCAAAGAAGTCATAGAATGCTTGGGGTTTGAACCCATGGCCAACAGGTCCTATAACTTGCATGTGTGAGATATATCTATAAAAACTTGCATTTGTGGTCACAGTGGTGGCCCATGTTAACTGCCCTGTGGTGTATAAATATACCTAGTTGTATGAATCTTGTTAAGCCCGTGGACCAATGGCTAGCACACTGGCCTACACGTTTTACAGCTTATTTGTTTCGAGTTTGAACCCCACTCATTCTCTGATCAATTGTTCCTTTTTAATTTTAGTTATTGATTAATTTGTTTAAAAATCATTCGGTATCAAATTTTCAGGTTGGGTTCAGACCAAACAAGAACAAATTTCAACTTTCATCGAGCAAGGAGACTTTGGCTATATAAAAACGCAACGAAATCAGTTGCAAGTGTACTGCCAACCTGAGGGAGAGGTGAGATAATAATAATATTCTTTATTTCTACAAGTACATGATACAACTTATATAGACCATAGTTGACATCAGTGACATACTATATGGGTGGAAACACTAAGAAATTGGGATTGAACCATGGAACCTCAGTGTGGGAGCTGAGTGCACTGCCACCCCAGCTGCAGCTCATCTTTTTGTAAACAGTAAGTATTACTGCCTACAAGGATGCCTCATGTCTTTCATCTTTGCTGAGTGACACTGATGATTCATATGGGCTTAACATTTTTCATATAGTATATAATAATAGCAACATAACATAAGAAAGAAGGAGCACTGCAGGAGGCCTACTGTCCCATGCTAGGCAAGCCCAACTCACACCCACCCACACCCACTCATGTACTTATTTTAGAAGCTACACAAGGTTTTTGCTTCAATGACTGTTTGGGAGTTTGTTCCACTCATCCACAACTCTATTACTAAAGTACGTAATGGTTTCCCATTTCCTTTCTAAATCTAAATTCTTACAACTTAAAACCATTGCTGCGAGTCCTGTCTTGGTTAGATATTTTTAGTACATTATTTACATCCCCTTTATTCCTGTTTTCCTTTTATACAACTCGATCGTATCCCCCCGAATTCTACACCTTTCCAGAGGTTGCAGATTCAGTGCCCTCGGTCTATCCTCGTAGGAAAGATTTTTGATACTCTTAAGTCCTGATACACAATGTGTAGTTTTTTTTTTAATTTTGAGTTTCTGCTTTGCAGGAGGACTCTTCTCTGGAGTGCACTGACCACCTCCAGTTCTGCCGGGGCAAAAATATTTATATAGATTTCCGTCCGTTGAAACACAGAAAGGAGATTGTACATTACCACATGGATGTGTTGGAGATGGGGCAGATTGGTGGTCACTGCAGGTGAGTGAAGACCTACTGGCTGGTGAGGTGCATATACACTTGCCTCTCATCTACATAATAATACTGTAATAATAATTTCTTTAAAAAGTAGAGTAAAGGAGGGCCCTGTTTTTATGCCTTTTAGGTTCCTGACTCCTGGCGATAAGCAAAAATCACCACCTAGTGGGAAAAGAGCCTGATAATGTGTTTACACTATAATATACAGTGGACCCCTGCATAACGATTACCTCCGAATGCGACCAATTATGTAAGTGTATTTATGTAAGTGCGTTTGTACGTGTATGTTTGGGGGTCTGAAATGGACTAATCTGCTTCACAATATTCCTTATGGGAACAAATTCGGTCAGTACTGGCACCTGAACATACTTCTGGAGTGAAAAAATATCGTTAACCGGGGGTCCACTGTATTCAGTGCTCAATACAGCTAGCCATTGGTTGGTAGGGTGGTATTAAGTGGTAGGGGCTTGAGCATCCAGCAGACATGTATGAGCATGCTGAAGTGGACTGAGTGGAAACAAGTAGTTTTAAAGATTCAACATGCTGTTAGAATGTCAGTAGCATTTATGAAGGGATTCAAGGAATGCTTAACTGGTTAAGTATTTGAAATATTAAAGGTGCATTTATGTTGACCAAAGTTGCAGAATAATTGAATTTAATAATCAGTTTTTAATGTAATAACACATGAAATATTGGCTGGTTGTTCAGACCCTTTTGCCTGGAATGTTGTTTATAACTATGGGTGTCCTACATGTATTCTCCATAAACAATATATCATGTGGAAATAAACTTTGAATCTGAATTGAATTGAGAGTGTAATGAATACATACATTTAGCACTGTATGTTAGAGCTGTGAACATATCTCATATATAACAATACTAGTGAATAAATGAAGTAGTGTGCACAAGTGCTCGTGTCTACACATCTTCACTTTTTGGGAAAATAGTCACAGATACAGTATAATGTGATCCTTTATTGACTACGTTTCCTCTACACAATAGGCTTCATCAAGTCAGTATGTGAGACAGAGCTGCAGATCTGTCTCACAACCTACCCAACATTCTCCACCTGACTCTCCACCTTATATATACTCGTGTATTCTATACCCTGCCCGAAATGCCTAGCCATGCTAAGCGTTCTAGTGGTACACTCTGTAATCACATTTTTACTACATGTAAACCACACAATATTCAAATTTCTGTAAACTCAGCATTGTAATCCTTATAGAGAATAAACTTTGAATTTGAATTTGAATTTGAATCTGTTTGTGACTTGATAAAGCCCAGTAGTCAATAAAGGATCACATTATACTGCATCTTTGACTTTTTTCCACCATGTTGGTATTTTATACCATTTATCTCCACCTTCACTTCTTTTCAAGGTTTTTGTACATTTCAGATTAAATAAAGAACTCCTAGGAAAAAATGCTGTCCTTATTAGTCCTCTTCAGTCATGGGGTCCGGAGATGCGCTTCTTCACCGAGCAAGAGGAACCAGTACAACCAGGAAGGAAGATGTGCGACCGCTGGGTTAACACTCCTACATTTATCATGAAATTAGATGCTAGTATGTAGGACCCATGAGTGGAGTTTAATAATATTCTTTCTTTCGATTCTAGTTTTCAGCTTAAATTTTTATAATATAATAGTCATCCTGCCTTGGTGGGAGACGACCATTGTGTTTAAGAAAAAAATTCAGGTATTGTATTTCCTTATCCCTTTCTTTGACTAGGGAAATATGATATAATAGTGGTTTATTCATTTTTCACACTCGGTAAGCAAGTAGGTGTCTGCTGCTAGAGTGTTTATGAACTGATTATAATATTTTATAATATCTACAGTGTCTTTAATTTTAAGGATATTCAGTAACTTTAGGAAATTAATATTGGTGTTTCTTTTAAAATCTTCAGCTGTGAATATGTATCACCACTTCTGTGACTTCTTCAACCTTTACACTTCTCAACATCTCAACAACTCCCACGAGTCTGCTTTCTCCCGCAACACTCAGGTAGGTTGTGGCTCCTACTGCATGTGCTTTCTTCTGTATGGCTGCTCCTTGCTTTACCATGTTTCGTCTTACTATATTTCAGCTTTACGATGGTGCGATACAAGTGCACATTCAGTAGTTGCAAGAGGCAGCTAAAATGCCGGGAGAAACTGGCTAGTAACCCCTTCTCCTGTATCTTTTTTGGCTCGTGCTGCCTCGGTGTGAAACAGCTGATGTGTTAAAAAATAAATATGCATGAAAGAGGGGAAAATACATAAGCAGAGAGCATTGATAGTTCCCATGTATCAGGGAAAAGAAGATAGAGGGAATGCAATAATTATAGATGGATAAGCCTGTTGAATATACCATGTAAAGTGTATGGTAGAATTATTGATAAAGTTATGAGTAAGACAATAGTAGGAGTGAAAAGGAGGAGGGAGAATTTAGGAAGGGTAGGAATATGTAGACTAATTATTTACATTAAAGCAGATAAGTGAGCATTACTTAGATAAGGGTACAGAGCTGTTAGTTGCATTTATGGACTTAAAAGAGGCATATGATAGGGGAAGCAGTGTGGCAGTCTTAAATGTATGGAATGGGTAATAGGTTACTAAAAGCAGCAAAGAGCTTTTATGCAGATAGTGAGGCTGGGTTTAGGGTATATAGGAAGAAGGGGACTGTTTCCCAGTGAAAGTAGATTTTAGAAAGGAATGTAATGTCACTGTGGTTATTTAAACATGTTTATAAATGAGGTGTGAAAGAAGTGAATGCTAGGGTGTTGAGGAGAGGTGTGACATTAAAAGATAAAGAATCTAATGTCATCTAATGTAAAAGATATTACAGTGGACCCCCGCATAACGATTACCTCCGAATGCAACCAATTATGTAAGTGTATTTAAGTAAGTGCGTTTGTACGTGTATGTTTGGGGGTCTGAAATGGACTAATCTACTTCACAATATTTCTTATGGGAACAAATTCGGTCAGTACTGGCACCTGAACATACTTCTGGAGTGAAAAATATCGTTTAACCGGGGGTCCACTGTACTATGAAACTCACTAGACTGTAACCCATCTAACCTTTTCTAATAATCATGTACAGTCTTGTAGTCTTAAATTAGGCTTTAACTTACCTGAAATGCTTTACATTAACTATGGACTTTCAACATGCACTTCAGTGTCACATGTTTCTGTGTAAACAATATATCATGTTAAAATAAAGTATGATGATGTATAAAGTGGCACTTGTCACAGTTGCTCTGCCGACAACACGGTTCTTCTCACAGATTCTGAAAAGAGGTGGAGCAGTTTAGAAGGGTGTATAAAAGATGGAAATTAATAGTGAACATAGAAAAAGAGGATGATGATGAGAATAATAGAAAGTTGTTTATCATCCTCACAGATCCTGATCTGGGAGACACTTCCTTACCGCTCTAACTTTGGTGTTGTATTTGATGCCTTCACCAAGACTCCGGTATGGACCCTCAATCATGTTGCAGGTACTGCTGTCACTTGTATTATTATTAGTCATCTTTATTGTTGTTGTTATTATTATATTCAACAAACCGGCTATATCCTACCGAGGCATGGTGACCTAAAAAAGAAAAACAAAAATTTCTCTTTTTAAATTTGGTAATGTATACAGGAGAAGGGGTTACTAGCCCCTTGCTCCCTGCAAGGTGCTGGTAACCACTTAGGACACTCATGGCTTACTGAGGAAGAATTCTGTTCCACTTCCCCATGGGGTATTATTATTATTATAATAATTATTATTATCATTATCATTATTATTATTTTTTTCAACGAACCACCCATATCCCACCGAGGAGGGTGACCTAAAGAGAAACACTAAAGTTTTTCTTTTTAACCCTTAAACTGTCCAAACGTACATCTATGTTCACTTGCGTAGCACTCCGAACATAGATCTACATTCGATTTTACATGCTTTCTTAAGGGTTAAATTTAGTAATTTATACAGGAGAAGGGGTTACTAGCCCCTTGCTCCTGGCATTATAGTTGCCTCTTACAACACACATGGCTTACAGAGGAAGAATTCTTTTCCACTTCACATGGAGATGAAGTAAAGAAGAACAAGAACTATTAAGAAAAAGAAGAAAAGCCAGATGGGTATGTGTACATGTATATATAGTATATGAAGTACATGAAGTACATGAATGTGTAGTGTAACCTCAGTGTAAATAGAAGTAGCAAGATATACCTGGTATTCTGCATGTTTCTGAGACAGAGAAAGACACCAGCACTCTTGCCATCGTGTAAAACAATTACAGGTTTCCATTTCACATTCACTTGGCAGGACGGTGGTTGCTGTCTACCAACCTACTACCTAGTTATTTGTGTGTACCTGTACCTAAATAAACTTACTTTAATGATTTTTGCAGGTGAACGTGTGTGTTTCAAAGATGTGGTGTTTCCTCTGCTGCCTCGCATGATTTTTGGTCTCTACTACAACACTCCAATTGTATGTACTATCTTGTTCTCATAATATAATGTACAGTAGAACACTCTTTTATATAAGAATGTTTTTTATATGTTTTTAGTAGAAATTTATCCACATTTTCCTGTATTTTTTTGCAGATATGGGGATGTGAAAAGAGTGGTTTGTTCCATGCATTTTCTCGTCACATTTTGCACCGCCTGGGTGTTGCAGGGAGGTCCCAGGGGGACGGTACCATCCACATAACTCTGCTTTCCCGCAACACTGAGTTCCGTCGTGTTCTAAATGAGGCACAACTCATCAAGGCCCTGAGGAGCGATAAGAAGTTCATCGTACGCAAGGTCAGTCGTAACTTTCCTTCTCAATGCGATTAGATAAAAAAAATTTTTTTACTACACCAGCTGCCTCCCAGCAAGGCAGGGCAACCCAAAAAAGGAGAAACAAAGGCTTTCCTTTTTTTTCCATTTAGTAATTTACACAGGAGAAGGAGTTAACCAAATTAATTATTAGAAGAAGAATATAACATTGGATAGTGTGTGCTTTATATGTAACTGGACAGCCCACAATTTGTAGTTACTGTAGTATATTCTGATGAATCTCAATTTGCAGTTGCTGTAGTATATTTTGGTGAGTCTCAGTACTTATTTTATAAATCTTTGTAAGCTTTCATCGGTACTAGCCAATGGAAGAAGAGGAGTTGGAGGTTATCAGTCCCTCAACTTGAAGTCGATGTGTTCACTCCATCAATCTTAACCCTTAAACGGTCCAAACAGATCGATGTTCAAATTCGTAGTCCTCCAAAGTAGATCTACTTTTTTCACATATTTTCAAATATAACAAAAAAAAAATGTAGTTAAAAGCTTTTTTTTACAAGTTTTCAAATATAAAACAAAAAAGAAGATCTACATTTTTTTACATACTTTCAGATGTTGAAAAAACGTATATATATACGTTTGGACCATTTAAGGGTTAATAAAAGTCTTGCACAAGCGTTTTATTTATCAACTGTCCCAGGAAAGGTTGAAGGAGGAAGGGAAAGGAAGGTTTGAGTGCTTGGGGCTTGAACTGCCAAAAGACTTATGTGAGCATGTTAGAGTGGAGTAAGTGGAGACGAGTTTTTTTTTTAATTGATATGCTGTCGGAGTATGAGCAAGGTAACAGTTATGGAGGGATTCAGGGAAATTGGTTAGCAGGACTTGAGTCCTGGAGGTGGAAAGTACAGTGCCTGCACTCTGAAGGGGGGAGTAGGTATGTTGCAGTTTGGAGGGTCATCTAAATTGTGATTTCAGCACTTCTAGCAAGACAGTAGTTGAATGAAGGACAGTGAATGTGTTCCTTCTTTCTTTTGGGGGTCACCCTTCCTCATTGGGAGATGATCAATGTTTACAAAAATTTTTAGTAAAATATATGCCTTCATCCCATGCTCAACAAATAATATCACTTGTAAAATGTCATTACATTTTTCCCTCAGGCTGAGTATAGTCACAGGATGGACTTTCGGCAGCAGCTGCGTCAGGACCAGTGGACAGATGTATTTATCGGCATGCACGGTGCCGGCCTCACTCACCTACTCTTTCTGCCAGACTGGGCTGTTATTTTTGAGCTGTAAGATTCTCTAGATCTATGAAAACCTACCTATATATCAGCTTCACTCAAGTTCCCGGCTCTCTGGTGCCAGAACAGGTGCGCTTAACCTCGCAAGACACTCTCCAGAAAAATATTACAATTTCTACTACTCTATTATATGTGTATTTGTATAATAAACAAAACTCATTGTACAGAATAATAATAATCATGGGAGAGCACTAACCAAGGGTCCATCAGCAGTAGGAGGGGTATTCAAGTTGCTTCCTTTCAGGGACTTGACGCGAAAGGGATTTGATCCATCAAGTGAGTGTAACTCGGCCTGCGTGGTCTGGGTTTAGGACTTACTGCCATGGGTCAAACCACTTTCTGTAGTTTCGCAATCACGTATAACAATTTGTGATCAAGGAATGCTTGATACAAATAACCGCCATAAAAGAGAGAAGCTACGACGACGTTTTGGTCGACTTGACCATTGAAAAGTCTAAGCTCCTCTCTTTTATGTCGTTATTTGTGTATCGTTCCAGTCACGGTATTGTGCCTTTTTGTTATTTATTGACATTGCTTGATTCTAGCGAGGGATTTTTTATTTGAAGAAATCGGACCTATCCTCCTTTACCTTGGACAGACCCGGGATGTTTCCCATTCCCTAGATGTTGCATCACCCTTATGAATTTAGCTTCCACCATGAATGAAATTAGGTTTGATCCAAGGAAGAGGAAATTGGCTCTGGTTCCTTAGATGAAGGACCCGTCACCAGCATAAAGGCACTTGTATTGAAGGGTCTTTGCTTGAAACCTTTTCCTCAGTTTCATGTTGGCAAGTGTCATATCTGTGCACCTCTGGCAAGACAGTGATAGTGTGAATGATGGTGAAAGTGTTTTTTTTCGGATCGCCCTGCGTTGGTGGGAGACGGCCAACACGTTAAAAATAAAAGGGGGTCACACACACTGATGTTTGCATATTCATTGGTTGAGTACACTGGGTAATATTGTATGGGAGAGCCTTGCTTATATTGTAGGTTAGGTTCTGGGCTACTGTAGGGTCCCAGTTATACAGCAAGATTGGTTCTAGGCTACTGTAGGGTCCCAGTTATAAAGCAAGTATAGTTCTAGGCTACTGTAGGGCCCTGCTTATACAGTAGGTTAGGTTCCTGAGCTGCTGTAGGGGCCTGCTTATGCAACAGGTTAGGTTCTGGGCTACTGTAGGGCCCCACTTATGCAGCAGATTAGGTTCTGGGCTACTGTAGGACCCTGCTTATATAGCAGGTTATATTCTGGGCTACTGTAGGACCCCATTTATACAGCAGGTTACATTCTGGGCTACTGTAGGACCCCACTTATACAGCAGGTTACATTCTGGGCTACTGTAGGACCCCACTTATACAGCAGGTTACATTCTGGGCTACTGTAGGACCCCACTTATACAGCAGGTTACATTCTGGGCTACTGTAGGACCCCACTTATACAGCAGGTTACATTCTGGGCTACTGTAGGACCCCACTTATACAGCAGGTTACATTCTGGGCTACTGTAGGACCCCACTTATACAGCAGGTTACATTCTGGGCTACTGTAGAATCCCGCTTAAACAGCAGGTTACATTCTGGGCTACTGTAGGACCCCACTTATACAGCAGATTAGGTTCTGAGCAACTGATGTAAAGCGATAATCACTGTAAAGTGAATCATGGCCTTTTTTTAACTTTCAAATGCATATATGTAAAATCACTTATGTAATATATGCATATATGTGTAATGATAATGTGATAATGTGCGAGTGTGGTGAAAGTGTTGAATGATGATGAAAGTATTTTCTTTTTGGGGATTTTCTTTCTTTTTTTTGGGTCACCCTGCCTCGGTGGGAGACGGCCGACTTGTTGAAAAAAAAAAAAAAAAAAAAAATGTGTAATGTCACCATGGTTGTTTAATATATTTATAGATGGGGTTGTAAAAGAAGTAAATGCTAGGGTGTTCGGGAGAGGGGTGGGATTAAATTTTGGGGAATCAAATTCAAAATGGGAATTGACACAGTTACTTTTTGCTGATGATACTGTGCTTATGGGAGATTCTAAAGAAAAATTGCAAAGGTTAGTGGATGAGTTTGGGAATGTGTGTAAAGGTAGAAAGTTGAAAGTGAACATAGAAAAGAGTAAGGTGATGAGGGTATCAAATGATTTAGATAAAGAAAAATTGGATATCAAATTGGGGAGGAGGAGTATGGAAGAAGTGAATGTTTTCAGATACTTGGGAGTTGACGTGTCGGCGGATGGATTTATGAAGGATGAGGTTAACCATAGAATTGATGAGGGAAAAAAGGTGAGTGGTGCGTTGAGGTATATGTGGAGTCAAAAAATATTATCTATGGAGGCAAAGAAGGGAATGTATGAAAGTATAGTAGTACCAACACTCTTATATGGATGTGAAGCTTGGGTGGTAAATGCAGCAGCGAGGAGACGGTTGGAGGCAGTGGAGATGTCCTGTCTAAGGGCAATGTGTGGTGTAAATATTATGCAGAAAATTCGGAGTGTGGAAATTAGGAGAAGGTGTGGAGTTAATAAAAGCATTAGTCAGAGGGCAGAAGAGGGGTTGTTGAGGTGGTTTGGTCATTTAGAGAGAATGGATCAAAGTAGAATGACATGGAGAGTGTATAAATCTATAGGGGAAGGAAAGAGGGGTAGGGGTCGTCCTCGAAAGGGTTGGAAAGAGGGGGTAAAGGAGGTTTTGTGGGCGAGGGGCTTGGACTTCCAGCAAGCGTGCATGAGCGTGTTAGATAGGAGTGAATGGAGACGAATGATACTTGGGACCTGACGATCTGTTGGAGTGTGAGCAGGGTAATATTTAGTGAAGGGATTCAGGGAAACCGTTTATTTTCATATAGTCAGACTTGAGTCCTGGAAATGGGAAGTACAATGCCTGCACTTTAAAGGAGGGGTTTGGGATATTGGCAGTTTGGAGGGATATGTTGTGTATCTTTATATGTGTATGCTTCTAGACTGTTGTATTCTGAGCACCTCTGCAAAAGCAGTGATAATGTGTGAGTGTGGTGAAAGTGTTGAATGATGATGAAAGTATTTTCTTTTTGGGGATTTTCTTTCTTGTTTTTGGGTCACCCTGCCTCGGTGGGAAACGGCCGACTTGTTAAAAAAAAAAAAATGTAAAAAATGCATATACAGTACAAACAGTACTTACCTTAAAATATTTTCATCCTTAGCTTATAGTGAGTGGTGAATATATTTATTGTAGGAAGTCTGAATAAATGAAGAATGGGTATAATTGATAACTGCTGTATTAGCGAAGTGCCGTAAAGTGAAGCGCTGTAAAGCGGGGGCCTCCCTTACATCGCTAATGCTTACAGGGTGATTTAAGCTTAGCAGTTCAAAGGCTTGCAGCCACTTATTTATTCTCTTCGTGGTTGTTGCTCACAGGACCGACAGCACCTTAAAAGAAAAAACTATAACAATTACGTAACACTTTAAGGGATTTCATATTTTTCTGTTTTATTTTTGCCTAACCAAAAACTTTTACTTGTTACATTCAGTTTTCAAGATGCTACAGTGCTTCTCTAACTTTCATGCATAATTACCAGGAGTGTTTCAGATTCTCTTACTGCCTCTCTTGCTGTACCTATTACAGGATTCCCTGATGTAGATTTAGATACTTAAAATAATTACATCTGTTAAATCCGTTACTTCCATATGGATCATGATAAGCCACAAGTGGCCTCTCATATGTCATAAATGTGTTGGGGACCTCTTTCACAAGCTTCAAGCATTGTTAGATAGGAGTGAGTGGAGGCAAGTGGTTGTAGTGACTTGACTTGCTGTTGGAGTGCGAGCATAGTAACATTTATGAAGGGATTCAGGGAAACCAGCTAACCAGACTTAATAATAATAATGATATTAATAATAATAATAATATCTTTATTCCTACAAGCACATATACACGGTATACTGGTTTAGCTGACATCAGTTACATACTACTACGTATATAGAAAGTCCCTTGTTATGCAGAGCATTTCGGGAAAATTAGATCAATTTTGTCCCAGGATGCAACCCACATCGGTTGATTAACACCCAGGTAGTCATTTTATTCTGATGGGTGAACATAGACAGCAGGTGTCTAATGGAAACACGTCCTAATGTTTTCCAGCCGTACCAGGCATTTGAACTATGGACCTCAGAGTGTGAGCTGGGTGCGCTAGCGATTGAGCTACAGGACTTGAGTCCTGGAGGTGGGAAGTACAGTGCCTGCACTCTGAAGGAGGGGTGGGGAGGTTGTAGTTCAGAGGGCCATCTGAACTCTGATATCAGCACACCTCTGGCAAGACAGTAAATGAATGATGGGGAAAATGCTTCCTCTTTTTTTGGGGGGGAGAGGCTACCCTACTTTGGTGAGAGATGGCTGGCATGTTAGGAAAAAAATAAAATTTCATAGGATTGTCTTGTTCTTTACTACTGTATAGATTAATGATTTTTAGTATTACTGAGTTAGTATGGAGTAAGGAAAGCTTACAGTTAGAATTCTGTTTACATTATTTATTAGTGATAATATTAACTTTCCAGGTATAACTGTTTTGATCCAAACTGCTACAAGGACTTGGCTCGGTTGCGAGGGATCAAATACATAACTTGGGAGAACAGCACTCTCCTGAAACCTGAAGATGAGGTAAACAATGATTATTTTCACTAAGTATTTTTACTGGGAAATTTCAGCTATTATAATGTGCCTTAAGAGAACAGTGTTGCGAGTGTAGATCACACCTGAGCAAAGATGAAATACTGTAAGTAGTGTGTTGAGAATTTTGTTAATTTTTGTTTATGAACCATAATACAGTGGACCCCCGGTTAACGAACTTTTTTCATTCCAGTAGTATGTTCAGGTGCCAGTACTGACCGAATTTTTTCCCATAAGGAATATTGTGAAGTAGATTAGTCCATTTCAGACCCCCAAACATACACGTACAAACGCACTTACATAAATACACTTACATAATTGGTCGCATTTGGAGGTGATCGTTAAGCGGGGGTCCACTGTATTGGAGCTCTCCATACCAAAGTGGAACAGAATTCTTCCTCCATAAGCCATGAGTGTCGTAAGAGGCGACCAAAATGCCAGGAGGAAGGGGCTAGTAACCCCTTCTCCTGTATACATTACTAAAGTTTAAAAGAGAAACTTTTGTTTTTCTTTTTGGGCCACCCAGCCTTGGTGGGATGTGGCCGGTGCATTGAAAGAAGAATAATGGAGGTAGGTTTTATATGAGGGGGAGAGGGGCACCTTAATGCTAGTGAAAAGCTCTTAATCTAAGGAATTAGAGCTACCCTTCCCTTCCTTGGATCAGCCTTAATTGCCTCCCATTCCCAACCACTGTATAACCCCCCACAGGAGGTTTTGTGTGTAAGGGGCTTGGACATGCAGCAGGCATGTTAGATAGGAATGAGTGGAAACAAATGGTTTTTGAGGCTTGTGAGCAAGGTAATATTTTGTGAAGGGATTCAGGGAAACCAGTTAGCTGGACTCGAGTCGTTGAGGTGGGAAGTACACTGCCTTCATTCTAAAGGAGAGATTTGGGATATTTGTTGTTTAGAGGGACATCTGAACTGTCATATCTGTGTGCCTGTGGCAAGACAGTACAGTGGACCCCCGCATAACGATTACCTCCGAATGTGACCAATTATGTAAGTGTATTTATGTAAGTGCGTTTGTATGTGTATGTTTGGGGGTCTGAAATGGACTAATCTACTTCACAATATTTCTTATGGGAACAAATTCGGTCAGTACTGGCACCTGAACATACTTCTGGAGTGAAAAAATATCGTTAACCGGGGGTCCACTGTATTAGTGTGAATGATGGTGAAAGTGCTGCTTTTTCGGGTCACTCTGCCTCGGTGGGAGATGGCCAGTATGTTAAAAAAAAAAATAACAATAATAATGAAAATGAAAATGTTTATTTCCTTGCAAAGCTTATAATGTGTGGTTTACATTATTTTTATTTTTTTTATTATCACACTGGCCGATTCCCACCAAGGCAGGGTGGCCCGAAAAAGAAAAACTTTCACCATCATTCACTCCATCACTGCCTTGCCAGAAGGGTGCTTTACACTACAGTTTTTAAACTGCAACATTAACACCCCTCCTTCAGAGTGCAGGCACTGTACTTCCCATCTCCAGGACTCAAGTCCGGCCTGCCGGTTTCCCTGAACCCCTTCATAAATGTTACTTTGCTCACACTCCAACAGCACATCAAGTATTAAAAACCATTTGTCTCCATTTACTCCTATCAAACACGCTCACACATGCCTGCTAGAAATCCAAGCCCCTCGCACACAAAACCTCCTTTTACCCCCTCCCTCCAACCTTTCCTAGGCCAACCCCTACCCCGGCTTCCTTCCAGTACAGACTGATACACTCTTGAAGTCATTCTGTTTCGCTCCATTCTCTCTACATGTCCGAACCACCTCAACAACCCTTCCTCAGCCCTCTGGACAACAGTTTTGGTAATCCCGCACCTCCTCCTAACTTCCAAACTACGAATTCTCTGCATTATATTCACACCACACATTGCCCTCAGACATGACATCTCCGCTGCCTCCAGCCTTCTCCTCGCTGCAACATTCATCACCCATGCTTCACACCCATATAAGAGCGTTGGTAAAACTATACTCTCATACATTCCCCTCTTTGCCTCCAAGGACAAAGTTCTTTGTCTCCACAGACTCCTAAGTGCATCACTCACCCTTTTCCCCTCATCAATTCTATGATTCACCTCATCTTTCATAGACCCATCCGCTGACACTTCCACTCCCAAATATCTGAATACATTCACCTCCTTCATACTCTCTCCCTCCAATCTGATATCCAATCTTTCATCACCTAATCTTTTTGTTATCCTCATAACCTTACTCTTTCCTGTATTCACTTTTAATTTTCTTCTTTTGCACACCCTACCAAATTCATCCACCAACCTCTGCAACTTCTCTTCAGAATCTCCCAAGAGCACAGTGTCATCAGCAAAGAGCAGCTGTGACAACTCCCACTTTATGTGTGATTCTTTATCTTTTAACTCCACGCCTCTTGCCAAGACCCTCGCATTTACTTCTCTTACAACCCCATCTATAAATATATTAAACAACCATGGTGACATCACACATCCTTGTCTAAGGCCTACTTTTACTGGGAAATAATTTCCCTCTTTCCTACATACTCTAACTTGAGCCTCACTATCCTCGTAAAAACTCTTCACTGCTTTCAGTAACCTACCTCCTACACCATACACCTGCAACATCTGCCACATTGCCCCCCTATCCACCCTGTCATACATTTTTTTTTTTTTTTTTTTTTTCAACAAGTCGGTCATCTCCCACCGAGGCAGGGTGATACATATAAAATGTTAATTACAAGGAAGGTCACTAGCAGGCCTAGGCATTTCAGGCTGACTAATACTAATTCTTACTCTGTATTGACATTGGTTGTGGAGCGGTACATTTTAATATACTACATTCTTGTATACTGATATAAAAGTTAGGTAATTGAAGTGATTAACATTAATTTGATTTATAATAGGTAATACAAAACATCTACAATTTTACAATTAGTAAATTTGGTAATGGGAGTGGTATTTTCTCGGCATGATACACTGTTGCTATAAAAGCTGCTATATTGGCAGAGTATTTCAGACAAACTTAAGACTAACTTAAGATTTATTAGGCAATAACTATATGAGGAATTTTATATTTACAGTCATTTGGATGAGTGTTAGTGTAAAATAGGGGAATTATAGATAATGAGAGTTAAATCTGTTTGGTTTGGATGTGTTCACATAGTTAGCTGATGATGGGGTGTGTTCAGGAGATAAGGTGTTTTTTAACAGTAGTTTTGAAAATGGTGGTTGAGTATACAGTTCTAGAGTTTTTGAGCAGGGAGTTCCAGATTTTAGGCCCTTTTATGTATACATTGAGTTTTTGTAGAGTAGAGAGGAAAGTGAGAACTATCACACCCATCCTCAAGTAAAGAGTGTGATGGAAACCCTTAGAACAATTTTAAATTAATATTTGACATTGATTATGTGTGAATGTATACCTGAATAAACGTACATACGTACTTACTTAATGATGGTGAAAGTGTTTCTTTTTGGGTCACCCTGTCCCGGTGGCAGATGGCTGACGTGTTAAAAACAAATTTACTACTTGAACTTCACAGGGCAAACATCCAGATGGTGGAGCACATGAGAAGTTTACCAATTATGAGTTTGACGTCGATGAGTTCATGAGGCTCGTGCGGGTTGGGGCGGAGCACGTCAGGAAGCACCGAGGCTGGCAGAACCTGCACCACCACCTCCCTCCCTCCCATCATCATCAGGAACTTTGAGCTTTTTAAGAGTTTTGGTCACTTGTTGGTTGTGATATATTTTTTAATAAAGCCGAATTTAAAGTTTTTCTGGCATTACTGTCAGTGTGCTTCTGGGTGCTGTGCTTGCCTGCCACTGCTGTTTCTTGCATCTGATAGTCTTCTCTTGGTAACCTTCAGCTTTTATAAACTATTTTGTAAATGATACCAGTTTTATAGAATGATTTTTTTCACAATGTGAATTGATCTTTCATTTTTTATACTCTGTGAAGTGTACAAATACAGTAGTTGTATTTATGTTATCTTGCAGATAACAGTTATCAGTACTTTACTCTGAGTCTTTAATGTACTTAACTTTTTAATATGCAGTAATATATCCTATTAACAAGTTCAGTGATAGTCAAAATATTTATTAATAGCAGTGATGCATCCTCAGTTAATAATTAGATGCTATGGAAATAGATCTGATAAATATGGAAAAGCAATTACAGGAGTGCCGTGCTGGTGCAGCAGGTTAGGTTCTGGGCTGCTGCTGTTAAGTGAAGCAGAGCTGCCGTGCTGGTGCAGCAGGTTAGGTTCTGGGCTGCTGCTGCTAAGTGAAGCAGAGCTGGGCCTAAAAATGTATATACAGTACACACACATTACTCACTTTAAAATATTTTTGTCCTTAGTTTATAGTGAGTGGTGAATATTTGTATTTTAGGAAGTCTGAATAAATGAATGAGTATAATTGAAAACCCCTGCATTAGTGAAATGCCATAAAGTGAAGCATTATAAAGTGGGGCCCTCCTCTATGTTTAATTTTCTGAGAAATAATAAATGTGATACTAGTTGGCTAATGAAAGTGGGAAAAATGAGGAAATTCTTAGTGGGATCACCTCTCTTTTTTTCCCCTAGAGTAATTAAGTGAGCTAGGTTAAGGGATACCATAAATATAGCTGTGCTCTTGTAACTACAAATAAGTATTCACAAGCACAGTGCCATACTAACGTGTGTAAGGCAGCACTCTCTGGTCTACACTTTCACTTCACTTGTTGTATTGAACACTCTCAGTGTTTTTTATTTAAAAAGTGGTGAGAAAATGAACAGATAGGAAAGTTGAAGGTTTTAAAGTTAGTTTGATTAAGATTTTGAAATGTGAATTGATAGTGCTTTTCTTTGCTTAGTAGTACAGCCATTATTAAATTTGTGAGGTAAATGGACACGGGTGGAAACATTAGGCGTCTTTCTTTAAGACATCTTCTGTCCCTGTTCACCTAGCAGTAAGTAGGTACCTGGGTGTTAGCCAACTGGTGTGGGTCACATCCTGGGGATAAAATTAACCTAATTTGCCCGAAATGCTCTGCATAACCAGGGGTTTTCTATAGAGTATGTCATTGATGTCAGCTATGGTCTGTATATGTTGTATCATGCACTCCTAAAACTAAAGATTATAATAATAATATAATTTGACGTCTAATTGTGGCAATGTTTTGCTCTGCAGGAGCTTTGACACATTAGTTCTTTTGCTTTCTAGTAATATAATAAAGTTTTGGTCATGACTTTCGGAGGCTGCTGAAAAGCCTATGGACAAATTATTTTTAATTGTTTTTTAATATAACTGTGTCGGGTGCAAGGGGCTAGTAACCCTTCTCCTGTATAAATTACCAAACGTAAAAAGAAAAAAAACTATAGTTTTCTTCTTTTTCGGGTCACCCTGCCTTGATGGGAGACAGCCAGTGCATTAAAAAAAATCCATTTGACCTTTGAGGTCACCCCTACCGTGGTGGGAGATGGCCAGTGCATTAAAAAAATCCATTTGACCTTTGAGGTCACCCTGCCTTGGTGGGAGACGGCCGGTGCGTTAAAAAAAAATTCTCTTGACCTTTCAGGTAACCCTGCCTCAGTGGGAGATAGACGGTGTGTTAAAAAAAAAAATTGTGTGTGAAGTATACTTATAATACGAGTGCAAGAAATGCAACAGCAGGTTGTCCTGTTGCTGGTCCCCTTAAACCCGGGTTAAAGAAACACTTGAAAAAATAACCGTAAAACTTCTACCAGTTTTGGTTTTCATTGTGTGCTCTACCAAAATATAGATAATTTAACATTTACGGCACAGTATGGATAAGCTATTTTTTGGGGGGCAACGAACTTGCTGTATCCCACCGAGGCAGAGTGACTCGAAAAAGAAACACTCACCATCATTCACACTATCATTGTCTTGTCAGAGATATGTTGTCTTTTATTTATTTATTTATTTTATTTATCACATGGCTGGTACTTGTTTTAATATCTTAGACTTTCAGTGGATACATTTATTCTTTGTGGGAGGTCGACAAGATAATTGTACGCCATTAGTACTTCCAACAAGTAAATTTTCATGAAAATTTATATAAATAGTTTATTGGTGCCAAAATGACTTATGGCATTTAGGGATTTTGTACATTGACTCTGAAGTTTAAGTTTGAGTAGTAGGAATAACAAGAATTATGTCTGTCATTTTTTGAGTGGTGCGTTGAGGTATATGTGGAGTCAAAAAACGTTATCTATGGAGGCAAAGAAGGGAATGTATGAAAGTATAGTAGTACCAACACTCTTATATGGATGTGAAGCTTGGGTGGTAAATGCAGCAGCGAGGAGACGGTTGGAGGCAGTGGAGATGTCCTGTCTAAGGGCAATGTGTGGTGTAAATATTATGCAGAAAATTTGGAGTGTGGAAATTAGGAGAAGGTGTGGAGTTAATAAAAGCATTAGTCAGAGGGCAGAAGAGGGGTTGTTGAGGTGGTTTGGTCATTTAGAGAGAATGGATCAAAGTAGAATGACATGGAAAGCATATAAATCTATAGGGGAAGGAAAGAGGGGTAGGGGTCGTCCTCGAAAGGGTTGGAAAGAGGGGGTAAAGGAGGTTTTGTGGGTGAGGGGCTTGGACTTCCAGCAAGCGTGCATGAGCGTGTTAGATAGGAGTGAATGGAGACGAATGATACTTGGGACCTGACGATCTGTTGGAGTGTGAGCAGGGTAATATTTAGTGAAGGGATTCAGGGAAACCGGTTATTTTCATATAGTCGGACTTGAGTCCTGGAAATGGGAAGTACAATGCCTGCACTTTAAAGGAGGGGTTTGGGATATTGGCAGTTTGGAGGGATATGTTGTGTATCTCTATACGTATATGCTTCTAAACTGTTGTATTCTGAGCACCTCTGCAAAAGCAGTGATAATGTGTGAGTGTGGTGAAAGTGTTGAATGATGATGAAAGTATTTTCTTTTTGGGGATTTTCTTTCTTTTTTTGGGTCACCCTGCCTCGGTGGGAGACGGCCGACTTGTTGAAAAAAAAAAAAAAAAAAAATTTCATTTTCATGTCTCACTATAATTAATAGTACAGGATACATTCATCTCTGTCTCACTATAATTAATAGTACGTACAGGACTCCAACTTTGTAGGAAGTAGGTTAGTAGACAGCAGCCGCCCAGGGAGGTACTACTGGCCTGCCAAGTGAGTGTAAAACGGAAACCTGTAATTGTTTTACATGATGGTAGGATTGCTGGTGTCTTTTTTCTGTCTCGTGAACATGCAAGATTTCAGGTACGTCTTGCTACTTCTACTTACACTTAGGTCATGCTACACATACATGTACAAGCATATTTGTATTTTTTTTTTTTTCAATAAACCGGCCGTATCCCACCGAGGCAGGGTGGCCCAAAAAGAAAAACGAAAGTTTCTTTTAAAATTTAGTAATTTATACAGGAAAAGGGGTTACTAGCCCCTTGCTCCAGGCATTTTAGTCGCCTCTTACAACACGCATGGCTTACGGAGGAAGAATTCTGTTCCACTTCCCCATGGAGATAAGAGGAAATAAACAAGAACAAGAACTAGAAAGAAAATAGAAGAAAACCCAGAGGAGTGTGTATATATGCTTGAACATGTATGTGTAGTGTGACCTAAGTGTAAGTAGAAGTAGCAAGACGTACCTGAAATCTTGCATGTTTATGAGACAGAAAAAAGACACCAGCAATCCTACCATCATGTAAAACAATTACAAGTTTCCATTTTACACTCACATGGCAGGACAGTAGTACCTCCCTGGGTGGTTGCTGTCTACCAACCTACTACCTAGGATATCTCTATATACAGGTCTCCCTCAACATTCACGTTTTCAGCTTTCGCGGGCTTCACACATTTGCGAATCCCCAACCACCAAATTCCCAGCTGCCAAATCATATTTAAGTTTCCCGCCACCTGCGAGTCCCTACTACCCTCCCACCGACCCCCGCAACTGGCAGCCAGCCCTCCCACCACTCAGTGTGGTGAGTGTTTTGTTTGTTCATTATTTGCTATTAAACTACAGTATAAATAATGTAAACCCATTCGTGACTGCATATTGGAATGGCTATTCGGACAGGTATTGGACGGTGACATCATGTGTTTACTCTTGAACACAGCAAAGAATCAAACATTTCTGCTACTGCTAATAATGACAATAGTAATAATAATAATAATAATAATAATAAATACGGTATAATTGAAGAAGGAAATTGTACAAAAATACGAGGGAGTGGTTGACACATCGTCAGTATGGCTTTGTTTATGCTGGAGTGAATATTAGTCTCCCTGCTCTTCCAAACATTTCACAATAATTCATTGTGTTTGGTGCTTGTAGATTGAGTGCGACTGGAGTGGTAGTGGCAGTGGTTGAGGCAATGGTATTTAATAACATACATGTTAATAATAATAACATGTACTATTATTATTTATAACAGCGATTGAGTCAGCGATTGAGTCAGTGGGTGAGGCAGCTGTTGAGGCAGTGATTGAGGCAGCTGTTGAGGAAGTGATTGAGGCAGTGGTTGAGGCAGCTGTTGAGGCAGTGGGTGAGGCAGCTGTTGAGGAAGCAATTGAGGCAGTGGTTGAGGCAACTGTTGAGGAAGCGATTGAGGCAGTGGGTGAGGCAGCTGTTGAGAAAGCGATTGAGGCAGTGGTTGAGGCAGCTGTTGAGGAAGCGATTGAGGCAGTGGTTGAGGCAGTGGGTGAGGCAGCTGTTGAGGAAGCGATTGAGGCAGTGGGTGAGGCAGCTGTTGAGGAAGCGATTGAAGCAGTGGTTGAGGCAGCTGTTGAGGAAGCGATTGAGGCAGTGGTTGAGGCAACTGTTGAGGAAGCAATTGAGGCAGTGGGTGAGGCAGCAGTTGAGGCAGTGGTATTTAAATAACATACATATTATTAATAATAATATTTTTTTTTTTTTTTTTTTTTCAACAAGTCGGTCGTCTCCCACCGAGGCAGGGTGACCCAAAACAAAGAAAGAAAATCCCCAAAAAGAAAATACTTTCATCATCATTCAACACTTTCACCACACTCACACATTATCACTGCTTTTGCAGAGGTGCTCAGAATACAACAGTTTAGAAGCATATACGAATAGAGATACACAACATATCCCTCCAAACTGCCAATATCCCAAACAGTTTGGAGGGATATGTTGTGTATCTCTATTCGTATATGCTTCTAAACTGTTGTATTCTGAGCACCTCTGCAAAAGCAGTGATAATGTGTGAGTGTGGTGAAAGTGTTGAATGATGATGAAAGTATTTTCTTTTTTTTTAATAATATATGTTATTAATAATATGTACTATTATTATTTATAACATATATGTTATTAAATACAACTGCCTCAACTGCTGAATTATTGTGAAATGTTTGATTCTTTGCTGTGTTCAAGAGTAAACACATGATGTCACCGTCCAATACCTGTCCGAATAGCCATTCCAATATGCAGTCATGAATGGGTTTACATTATTTATACTGTAGTTTAATAGCAAATAATGAACAAACAAAACACTCACCACACTGAGTGGTGGGAGGGCTGGATGCCAGTTGCGGGGGTCGGAGGGAGGGTAGTAGGGACTCGCAGTGGTTGAGGAAGTGCTGGAGGCATTGGTGGAGGCAGTGGTGGAGTCTGTGGTATTTAATAACATACATGTTATTAAAGCATAACATGTATATATTTAGTACAATTTATGACGTTTTGATGTATTTTATGATTGTTCATGGTTCAAAAAGTTAAGGAAGCAGTATTGTATTATATTTCCCTACAATATATTGGGGCACCAAACATTCACGGTTTTTCCACATTCGCGAGGCTCTTGATCCCCTAACCCTCGTGAATGTTGAGGGAGACCTGTATATATATACATGTATATAAAGTGGAACCTCAAATATCGAGCTTTCTTTGTTCCAGACGGCTGTTCGAGTGCCTTTACCGAACGAATTTATTCCCATCAGGAATAATGTAAATTAGATTAGTTCATTTCAGACCCTCAAATATACACTAATAAAAGCACTTACAAAAATACACTCACATAATTGGTTGTATTCTGAGCACCTCTGCAAAAACAGTGATTATGTGTGAGTGTGGTGAAAGTGTTGAATGATGATGAAAGTATTTTCTTTTTGGGGATTTTCTTTCTTTTTTGGGTCACCCTGCCTCGATGGGAGACGGCCAACTTGTTGAAAAAAAAAAAAAAAATTGGTTGAGTTGGGAGCAGTTTGATATTTGAGGTTCCACTGTATATATACGTATATACAGTGGTACCTCGAGTTACAAACTTAATTAATTCCAGAAAGCTGTTCGAGTGCTGATACCGAACGAATTTGTTCCCATAAGGAATAATGTAAATTTGGTTAGTCTGTTTCAGACCCCCAAAAATACACTTACAAAAGCACTTACAAAAATACACTTACATAATTGTTCAAGTTGGGAGCTGTTTGAAACTCGAAGTACCACTGTATATGCACACCACTCTGAGTTTTCTTCTATTTTCTTACTAGTTCTTGTTTTTGTTTATTTCCTCTTATCTCCATGGGGAAGCGGAACAGAATTCTTCCACGGTAAGTCATGCATGTCGTAAGAGGTGACTAAAATACTGGGAGCAAGGGGCTAGTAACCCCTTCTCCTGTATACATTACTAAATTTAAAAAGAGAAACTTCTGTTTTTCCTTTTTGGGCCGCCCTGCCTCGGTGGGATACGGTTGGTTTGTTGAAAGAAAGAAAGAAGACTCCTCCATCTTTGTCTCACTGTAATAATAGTATAGGACTCCTCCATTTCCGTGTCTCACTATAATACTAGTACAGGATTCTATATTCTGTTCTTAACCCTCAAACGGTCCAAACAGATCGACGTTCAAATTCGTAGTACTACAAAATTACATCTACTTTTTTTTTGCTTATTTTCAAATATAACAAAAAAAAAGTAGGTAAAAGTTTTTTTTACACGTTTTCAAAGGTAAAACAAAAAAGAAGATCTACATTTTTTTACATACTTTCAGATGTTGAAAAAACGTATATATACGTTTGGACCATTTAAGGGTTAATGAACGAGAATAGAAGAGGACTTTCACACCCATCGGGGTAGCCCAGTGGTGAGAGGCATGACTCTCACCACTGGGGTCCTGGGTTTGAATCCCGGAAGAACTACTAGAAAAAAAATATGGAAACTGTAGGCCAGTGGTGAGAGGCGCAACTCTCACCGCTGGTGTCCGGGGTACGAGAACCAGACGAACTACGTACTTGAAAAAAAAAAAAAAAAGTGTAGTGCAGTAGTAAGTGCCAGGATTCTCACCACCGGTTCCTGGTGTAGAGAGGCGCACAAACTAATGAAAAAAAAAAAGAGGACTTTCAGTTTTTTTATGTTACAAAAACCTTCCATCAGTTTGTGCATAAAATCTCCCAGGCTTTGAGTGAGGATTTCTCCAGTGGTTTTGAGTGAAGATTCTTTCTATGGCTTTGTGGCTTAACTGGGTAGGATTTCAGCCAGTCTCACCAAGAAGCTGTTAAAATAATTTATAACTCGCCCATTAACGCTAAGCCTTCCAAGAAGTTTTCCAGTCATTTTGAAACTTGACAGTACATGACAGGTTCATGTGTGACAAAATGTGCAACTTGTTGAGGATGGCATTATGCACAGGTATGGAATCCTGAATCAAAATTGTGAAAATTTTGGTAGTTAATCAGATAGTTGTTACTGTTTTTATTTACCAAATACAGTGGACCCCCGCCTAACGATATTATTTCAATCCAGAAGTCTGTTTGGGTGCTGTTATAGACCGAATTTGTTCCCATAAGAAATATTGTGAATTAGATTAGTCCGTTTCAGACCCCCAAAAATACACCTACAAAAGCACTTACAAAAATACACTTACATAATTGGTTGAGTTGGGAGCTGATCATTAGGCGGGGGTCCACTGTATAAAGACGATTCAGGTTTCTTAATGGTAATAATACCTATAATACGTACTATCCTTTTGTGGCCTTAATATTATCTGTGTTTGACGTCCTGTGATGCTGTGATACAGTCTTTACTTATTACTTCATAAATCATGACCAACATGACACTATATATTGCGTCCATAGATTTAAGATAATAATGTTACCTGGGGAATAATAATAGTGGTCAAGTATCTTCACCAGGTGCCAAATCAACCAGGGTGTGATAGATATGTGGGTTATTGGGCCACTAGCAGCAAGTACCAGGCAAGCCTAGCCCATGGCTGGGCTCCAGGAGTAGAAAAACCTTCAGAACTCATCAAAGGCATATCAAAGGTATAGGTGTGCATGTGTTTCAGATTACGCTTTGAGAATATTTCTGAAGTTGATCCCGTCCATCATGAAATCGGTTCATGGTCATATACAGTATTTACATAAGTTAGTATAAGTGAAATGTAGTACATGTATATATACAGTACATGTAGTCTCCATTGTTTGTGGAAAAACATTCATGTGAATCTTTGTACATTGGAATGCAGTGTTCCATGCACTTTTGCCATGTATTGTAATGAACAAAATACAATATTTAGGTGACATGGATACTTGTTATAAATTTGGGTCATACTAATAGTCTTTGTGAAGAGAAAAATTTGGAAAAAGTTGAATGAAATGCACGGATAGTTTAATGAGCTTTATTAAGGAACTTTTAAAATAAAATAAAAAAAAAACATCAATATCTGGTCATTTGACCTTTTGCTTTCATTACATTTTTAATAAGTTCTGTTTAGTACACAATCAGCGGCACCATCAGTACCGCCATCCTCCACTCTCGTCAATTTTAGCTTAATCATTCAACATTCATTTTGCCGCTCTACCTCATCAACTCATTAAAGGGTTGATTGCACGTTTCTCCTCCAATTTTATGTCGGGTTTGACGTCACAGATATTGAGCTTGTGTGCGCGTCTCGGGTAAGCAGAAACAAAAGTGACATTTTCCCAGTCATTTCCCAAGCTGCCCATTAATTAGC